TTTTTGTACATGACAGAAAAAGGGGCATGTACTGAAAACAGTACAGCTGGCATGCAATATAATGATTTCCATACTCATATGATTATTGGGTTCCTTCTATATAGGTGCTCCTCCTCTCAGTGTCGATGAAACCTCAGACGACGAATCTGCTGATGTATCTACTTCAAAGGAGCTGCTTAAAATACAGCAAAATGAAATTGCAAAATTGAGAAAACAGCTACAAGAGGCTGAGGCCAAGTATAATGCCTTGACTGCAGTCCATGCTGCGTGTGATAACGGTAACACGAGTTTTATGAATTTTCAAAACAGTTTTTCCAAACTGACACAGGACTGTTGATCGAAATTTGAACGGAAAAAATCATTCCGTGAATGTAACTTGAGGTTTGAAATTAATCAGAATATTTCCCTTACAATTCTTTGCGTACCGATGAGCTGATCAACTTTTCCAGAAAAATCACTTGTGCTTCGCGTCCATGATGTTTTAACCTGGACTACTCCACTTGCTCTTTTCTTTGTAACGAATCTGGCCGGAAATATTCGTTAAATTCACAGCTTTGGTGCTATTATATGTGATAAGTTTTATTCATGGTTCATTCATCGTGATGTGTTATTCATTTTTCTTCAATTGTTTCAGTCAACGATGAAAATATAGCTGACATTGAAATGGGAACAACCAAGAGAGATGTGATACACATTGGATACAATGTTTGGATTAAACAAACTTCATACGATCTTGTATGCAAAGCCGCTGAGCCCAGCAAATTCATCAATAGACTGGCAGAATCAGTCTGGAGCGACCAGGAACTGGCAAGGTCCACTACAAGGAAGACGAAAGGTGTAGATCGTGTACTTTTTTCTCCAACGAAGAAAGCTGCTGTTTCAAAATGTTTCTCCAAATGGCTGAGAGATAAGTTTTCCGATGAAAAGGCAAAGATAGAGGAAGGAAAACTGAATTGTTACCTTAATCGTGTAACAGATGCAACACGAAAAAGGCTTAAAGCTCAATCAAGAGTTTGAACCAATGGGGCGTGTTTTTGTGAAGAGAAGTTTTGTGTTTTCCAGGGAAAGAGTTTCTTGTACTTGAATGGGTAATAAATGGTGGGAATTCTTTAAAAAAAGAGTTATTAATTATTACCTTACCAGTCGCTTAAAATATGTCGAAACCGGTCGAAATCGTATCAAATCTGACAGAATTTGTCAGATTACGATATATTTTGAAGCTATTTCATGATTTCTAATATTCTCGGACTGAAAATGATAAATTATGTCGAATTGATGATTTCTCATTAAATGTCCTAAAGGTTCCGAAAATGATAAAATATGAGATATTTTGTCGAATACAAGGGCAAAAAACAAATTTTCATAATCGGAGAATTTATGACAGATTATTTTAAAATGGAAATAAAATTTTTTTAGAATCTATCATAAGTAGAGAAATTACGACAGGTTCGGACAAAATCTGATAAAAAATGGCATCCTGCCTTCTTATTTGTCTGAGTAATCTGTCAGAATTTGTTATGTCACATAAGAAAAGATCATAATCTGATATATTATGGCGACAACTGACATCATCTGACATGTTATGACAAAAATTTATATTAAATGCTAGAAAGGGGTGGAAAACGGGCTGAGCAGTTGACATATTGTTACATATTATGACAAATTCTGAGATAATTCGTCAGATTCTGAGATATATATCCGAGAAATTCTGACATATTCTGACCAATGTGTTCCAAATCGCGGTCATTTTACGGCATTTTTTGACATATCATCACTGATTATGACATGTTATCACAGATTCTGACATAATGTAACATTTTCTGATATATTTTTGACAAAAAAATTTGTCAGAATATGACAGAACTTACCATTTTTGGTCAAAATTTGTCAGAATCTGTCGACAAATTTTTACGAGGGCTATATTTAATTGGATAATAATGAATGATAAGAAAACAGACACGAATCAAAAGTTCATGTGGACAAGTGCAAGAATCATTCACCTCATCAGCTGAGATGGTGGAGATCGAAGAAATTCAAAGTTGCGTGGATAATGATTTATTGGAATGTAGGTATAAAGAATTTCTCCGAAAAATTTGATCGTTACGAATGTGTGTGTTTTTCTAGGAATCAATAATGCGTTCCGAGAATAAAATTTCAGTTGTAACGAAATTTGGATAGACTACTGGAGGGGATGAGGTCATATAAATCGCGAATTTTTAGAGAGAACTTTAGTTGTAATCATGGAGAATCTCTCACCAGAAGACATACGCTATTTGAATAGTATTCCACCGTACTGTCCCGACTTTGAGGATATAGTGGAGAAGCATTTTGGTGATGTTCCACCGGAAAATATCAGGAGTCTCATCAGTGATATGCAGTTTTTGGAGAGGAATTATGCTGCTGTGAGAAAGAAGAGTGAGGAAGATGCTGCAGATGACTCACTCCTACCATTATTCATCCACATTACGAAAAAGCTGGCTGTAATTTTTAATTGCATTGAAGAATTGATAGTAAGAGTGGATGATGATTTTGTGCGAGATCGTTGGGTTAGTTCATGGAGCAGTGGATCCAAGAGAAAAAGGGGGCCAAATCTGTACGAGAAAAGTCCAGCAGCCCCCATGCTAGCCATTCTACATGAACTCAAACTGGGTGTAAACATAATGTTTGAATCATTGAAAACCGAGGCAGACTCGGCTCTTGGTCATGATGCTGTTGATGAGAAATGAAAAGATTTTCTTTTCTAATAATTATTGTTTATTTATTCAGCTGAATGATTACATTTATTTTTTAAATGGCTTTCTTGACGCTGCCGGTGAGTAAGCTATATTCGATGATTCGATCGTGTAAGATCAAGCAGTAGGCTGCGGTGTTGACGTCGAAGATCTGCGATGATTCAAACTCCAGACGAATGTCCACAAGGAAGAACTCGTTCTGCTTGGAGCAATCGATGACGATGAGGGGTGCTGTTTTCAAGTAGTCCGCTCTGCTGAATAGTGGTTCAGGCTCTTTATGATAATAGGAGGCTTGGAAGCTGGTGTACATATCGTAGAGAAGAGCTGAATGGTTGTGTTCAATGTCTAAATTCAGATTTCCATATGGATAACTTTGCGAATTCAAGAATAATTTGATTTCTCGAATATTACAATGATCGAATGCACTGGCATCCTTCAAAGCCTGATTTTTTCTAGCTACTTGAAAGCCGAGAATGACGTAACGAGGTTTCTCCAATTGCGTTGAGCATTTCACAGTCCAGACATGCTTCGTTGTGCTCGGCAGCAGAGGATACTCGTACAATTCCCAAGAGCGAAAGCT